CGAGCCTTTCGCTGTACCTTTCGTTTGTTGGCCCGTGGACATAGCGAAGAAGATTAATAGAAACATTAGGCCGTAATCAACTAAATTCCCGATGGAACGAAATGCTGTGAGATCTAGTGATATAGCGATTAAAGACAACCAACAGCATAACTAAACTATCCATGGGATGGTGCAAGCTCCTAAAACAAACCGACTGTTTTGAAAACTTTAACATTTTGCATAATAAGTCTCCAATATGTTTGCCTGTGTCAGGCACCTTTTTTAGCTGCTAAAGTGCTCCTGAATTGTTTTTTAGCTGATATGAAAATGCATAGTTAGCAAAAAAAAAAAAACAAAACAAACGCGTATGATGGAAAGACATACGCTGTACATGCAAAGGAAATAATGAGTTCACTTGCATCCTTTCATGTGAATGGGTAGATTATTAGCAAAGGGAGACTCGATGAGATAAACCGCACCTAAATAAAGACTGCAAAGCATCTTCTCTTGCATAAAATGTCCTGATAACGGAAAGGAAAGCGAATCGCCATAAAATGGTCGATTGAAACACTAAACGAATTCAAAGCAGTCGCCGCGGTTGTGTGAACCCACAGCGCTAATGTAATCTTAAAGACTTTGCCAGAAACTAATGGCTGAATCCAACAGCTGAAAACAATTGTGAGATGTTTGTGCGGGAATGTGACGTTCAGTCGAGAAATAATTATGAAAATGTCTGAAATTTGCAACTGCCTGTCTCCTTTAGAATTTTCCTTGTTGATATGTAATTAATTAACAGGGACGTCTTATTTATATTTAGTCTGTTTTAAATTAAAAGGTGAGCGTGAAATTACAAATATCCGAAAGAGTTTTTACAACGGGCTTCAAACCTTAAATTTTTGCGTTATCCTCTTCAATCCATTAATGTTAAATAACTGGATCTTCAACTATTCGTCGAAACTTAAATAGAATCAACAAAAGTCCCCCCCTCCCCCCCTCCCCCCGACAGGAAACTGTTTCCGTGACAAGAAGAATAGGAGACAATCAACAGCAACACAAATTAAAAATCTACCGACCTAATAATTTCTTTTTATTATGCTAAGCAAGGACGTGGTCACATCACTTTTACAACAAGTCAGGGGGCACTTGAATCTACCCAAACCAAATGTCAAATTTGACGCTGGATATTTACGTTTTCTTGTCTCACTCAACAATTAATGGGAGAAATGTGTTGATGAGTTTCGAATTCAAAATTAATCTTAAAATAGTCGGTAATAAATACGAGTTCCTCATAATTTGCAAGTTAAAAAAACTCAAACTATAGGGTCCACGGCATGTTAAAAAACTGCTTTGGGTTTGAGATAATCACTTTCGGTACATCCATATATATATATATATATATATATATATATATATTATGAGAGGAAAAAAAGGACGCAACTACATTTCCCGACAAGCCTGTTTCGTGAATCGCTTCACTCTTCAGGGGTTTAATGAAAGAATATTCATGTGACTATCGTGTATATAGTAGGAAAATTTACATAATACGCGGTAAACTTAAAGTTCAGCTGTTGCGTAGCAACGCTTTGTTTATTTATATTTATATTATCTTCGAAAAATATAGTTTCTCCAAGCCTTCGTCGTAGTTTTTTCGAATTACCATGTGGACACAACGAGAAAAGCACAAGGAAGATGTTGAGCTTGTGTCAGTAAGAACAGCAGAAAATTTTAAAATTGCAATGCTGTGGATTTATGGGGCATTTATAACATTTTCTATGTCATTATTAGTAGTCTCACTTTCTTACATTTGTATTTTCAAATCGGCAATAAAATAATTTCATAGAACATTAGCAGGAGAAAATTCTAAAATATAGAACTACAATTTCAGAGATCGTGCTATGCATCACTTGAAAGCTATTAAGCAATACGTTTTGTTTTAGATGCTTGCGTCATCACATGGATTCCCAGTTTAGTTCTGCTGTTTCTTGACTTTATGTCTTATTATGCACACCGAGGAAAGCACGAGAAACTCTGGACTGAAATCAGCCGGAAACCTGATGGTACGAAATGACATGATAGCGATTAGAGAGACAGAGCTCTGAGAACATCGCAAATGAAACAAGACTATATCACTGATAGACGATGTTGAGATGGACTGCAACTTAAGTTTGTGCATTTTTCGTTAAAATAGGCGGTAGAAATCTAATAAAAAAATCTTTTGAACAATGCCTATTTTGGATGTCTCTTAGTAATTCGTATTACGTCTTCACATTCCTTAAATTTTATGACTTGCAGTTATTCAGCATCCACCCAATGCTCCCAACGGGTCAAATCAAACGCTTAATCAATAGTTTTCCTGAAAATTTGCTCTGTTCACTTGTTCTTTCCAAGAAACCTCTAACAAAGAAATTGTAAAGAGAGGTCGCGCGAATTCTCGAGAATCAGTTTAAACTGAAATCCATACCTTTTTTCAGATTACTTCTTTCATCCATTGCTAAGTATCTGATACAAGCTGCTTTATCCGTAAGGAATGAGCTGATTTACATCTATCTTTCAATCGTTATGACTCTCCTAATTTTGTTTAGATGCTCATTACACACTGTTCGTGTAGATTGTCTAGAAGATTGTCCAATGGCACTGTTGATTTTCAGCTTATTACCTTTGAAAAAAGACTCTCACAGCATTCAATTTCTGGACTTTTTAATATACAGCCCGAACTTTTCCACGCTGTTTTGCGGATTCTGCCGAGAGGTCTTTTTAAATAATAACTGAGTGGTGAGAGTTATCCCTTAGTTCTTTCCTGTTATCCTAATCCCAGTCGAATTTGATTCTTGGTACAAAACTGTTAAAAAATTGGCCGTGGAAGTGACGCTTCTTCTGTTGACTCAGACAAGATTTCTTTGTTTTGCAGCTTTGTTCAAACAGACTACATTTGGATTACTTGTTCGATGAATTGCATGAAATATTTTGTTCTCAGGGTTGGCTCCGAGTTCGACTTCGATTCAGGAATTTGATTTAGCCAACACTAACACTGACTAAGTCACCAAAATATGACATTTGCCATAGCCTGGCTTGACTTTAAGAACACCGAACGTCTCAGTCAGATTCCAGTCAGGCGACCTCAGGTATTGTACTAAGTGATTTTTTAACAAGTCAGAGACCAGAAAAATAACAGAATAACATCTAACGGCTTATTTCTCTCTTGTTGACGATTTTCCGTGCCATTCAGTTGTATTTCTTGAGAAGCCTGATGGGTATAGAAAGCGAAAATTTCAAATTTAGTCTGATGATGTGTCTGTAAATGACCCATTGAGTTAATTATGTTCTGAAAATTTGAAATGAATAAGATTTTTTAATTACTTACATCTCTTTTGATACAAAGAGTTCCCCTCTCAGTAGACCCCCTGGTTTGAGTTTGCTTAACTTGCATATTACCTGCAACAAGTTTTAAATTACTGACTATTATTATATTATTTACTTTACTTATTTACTATTTATTATTACTATGACTATTAGTTATGTTAGGCTAAATTTTGGATTCGAAACTTAACACATTTATCTCATTAGTTATTTAAATTAAGCTACTCATCAGTCTTACATTTGACATTCGTTTTGAGTAGATTGAGCCACCGAGCCATTTATGGCCACAGTGTGACCATAATCATGCGAGATTAGTATTTTAAAAGAGATTTTAAAATAGTTTTATTATCTGACGTCCCTGTTTTGTGTTTCCTCGTGCACTTCGTTTCACGAAAGCAACTGCCTGTCGAAGGGGACGTTTTGTTGAATTTCTTTTTACATTTTGGCGAATAGATTTAAGATCTCGCTGTTTCCAAATTGGCGAATTGACATTCCGAGCAAGAGGAGATGCTTTTCGGTCATTATTTTAGTGTCCTTTATCTCACTGAGTCTTCCTTTGGCTAAATTTTAATTTTCAAATCAGCCAGAAAACAATTTAGGAGAGTTTTAGCAGCTAAAAACGGAAACCCCTGAGGCGAATTACATTAACACGTACGTTCTGTTTAAAAAACAAGTCGTGCTGGCCTGACTCGTTAAATTGACGAGAGAGTTTTACATACATTTTTAGAACGAAAACACCGACGACGAATAACATTAAGTTTCTGTTTGATTTCCGCTGCTCAGACTTGCTATATTGACTAGAGAGCCCTGTCGCCGCTTGAGAATACAATCGCTTCAAGGCCTCCTGTGAAACTCTTGGACAAATGTGAGCTATTTTCCTCTGCCGTCAACTTTGTGACATCATGCTTAAGATCCGAATCCTTATTGATCTTAGAGGATCTGATCCTCTAACAGCAGACTTCAGCAGTCAACTTGACATGAAAACATAATTAAATTACGAAATTTATTTTGGGTTCTATTTCAGGCACTTAAATGAGGCTCCGAACGTTAACGTTCGGCGTCAAATTACTGCTTTCGCTTCGTTCAAACTGCTCAAATCAAATGGTTGGGGAGAGAGCTCACTTTTAGAATTACTGTTATCTCAGTAAATACTAAATGTTAAAATAATTGTAAACCGTTGATTTGCGGTGGGCCTGGCATTAAGACTATTTCATTCCACGTTTTCTCACGGCCTACCCATAACCCAGGCAGCTGCATATCAGGAGAAACATGTTTGCAAGTTCTCTCTGTTTTTCTGCGAATGAATTAAGACTAATTTGTTCTTATCAGTATTGACATACGTAATCAAGACATTGAACTACGGCAAGAGGAAATAACGTCCCATTATTTTCCCTTAACGTGAGAAAGATATCTTTCGAGAATTTCCTCTCTCTTAGATTTCGCTTCGTGCCTAAGTCTAGGACTTAACTTCCAGACTTCCTTGTCACGGTCAGTAAACAGCATTTTAAAAGCGTAATTTATCATATGATGTCCTATATGCAATGTCATAGTATTAGTTTTCATAACTTCAACTTTGTGTTGTGGGGACCTGTAGACAGGTTGATTTTAAAGATAAAATTTCACTCTTTTCTTTAGCTACTGATGTCTCCGAATACCGAATCCACATGAATAACAGCTGTCTGGCGCAACATCTCAGCAGTGCAGCGTCCATCTTTCTATCGCTGTGGTTCTCCCTCTCTGGATTAGCAACTGTAGCAGGAAATGCGGTCGTGTTGTGGTTGTTCTACAAAAATGAGTCTTTACGAATAATTTCCAATGGATTCTTAACCTCGTTGTCAGTGGCAGACTTGTTAGTTGGGCTGGTTATAGACCCTGTCTGGATCGTCATCAGATGCTTGATTCAGCCACCGGTACAGAGTACTTTGCACTACTGTATATACATGTTGTGGATTCACACAACCACCGCCACAACCTTTAACTTGTGCTGCGTTTCCGTAGACCGGTTTATTGCGATTAGGTTTCCTTTCCGTTACCAGGACTTTGTAACCAAGAAAAGATGCTGTTTGGTGATTATTTTGGTGTGGCTGATTTCATTATGTCTTCCTTTCACGGCTATTTCGATAGGTTTGTTGGGAAATATTGCGAGTACAGTGCTTTGGCTGTTTTGGGCATTTTTAACATTTGTCGCTCCATTAATTGTAGTCACTTTCTGTTATATGTTTATGTTTAAAGCTGCACGACGTCAATGCAGAAGGACATTTCCCAGCGAAAATTTTCACAGCTCCAACGGAAATAACATTCCACGGAGTGGTATCATGAAACAAATCAAAGCTGTTAAGACGGTCGGTTATATTATAGTTGTTTACATTGTTTCTTGGATGCCCAGTCTGGTCTTACTCGTAGTTCATTGTTATTATACAGCGACAAATCATCTCTGTGACGACATCAAAGTAGACAAAGTTGTATGGCCTTGGATTGAGGCAATCGCTTTTACCTCATCAGCGATCAACCCATTGATTTACTACCTCAGAAAAGGCGAATTTCGCCGAGCCTTTCGTCGCACCTTCCATTGGCTGCCTCGTGTTGATGAACAAAATTCGGTAGACCTTAGTGCACAACCAGATCGAAACTGAATGATACAAAAAGGTGGAACTCGTATCATTTTTGCAAGTAAGGAAACAGAACACTGAGGGAAGTTCATTCAAAAATTAAAATTGTAAAGCTGCCAAATCATAAGCCTGGCATAGTTTTTAAAATGGAAAACTTGATTTCTGGGCACTTTTTTCAGTGTAATTGTCTTAAATGTGACTTTAGGCGCAATTGAGAGGGTCAAGTCTTTCATGACATCAGTGCAATATTTCCTTGTCAAACGCTCCTCTCTGAGCATTAGTCAGTAAATGATGCGGGCAGGATGTCAGAAGAACTAACTAAGCACTTGTTTTTGGTGAAATCCCTTACATATTAAGTCTAGGGGAAAAACATTTCCTGGGCCATTCTTTTGCTTTTCTTCAGAGGACTCGAGACCATCGAACGTGAAAGTTTATTCGATTCAAATTCAGGCCCAGAAGCTTTTCATGCTTACTTACATTTATATTTCTTTGCTTTTCTGCAATAGGGTATTTGCGTGTGGTGGACCTGTGAATTTGTTCAAAATCAAAATCAAAATCAAAATCTGTCCTCCGAAAAAACAATATTTCGGTCGGTGCAACATAGCGGATGATAGCGAACTTTGTACTAACAAAAGCCCGCAACACAACAGAAATTGGTGTGAAGAAAATGTTTGACATGTAAAATGATAGCACTTCCATCTTAGGGGTTCATTTTCTGGGAAAAGCTGCAAAAGATTTATTTGTATAAAAAATAACAGACCAAAAGACAGATAAGGATGTTTAAATAAATTTATTATTTGCATCACTTTTAGAGAGCTTTTAATCGCTTTTAAAACACCGCCTCCCGGGAATTCTTAAAAGTTCAGACTTTATGTTTATCTTTGACGTAATATATCATATGACTGTATGCAAATAAATCATTTCAGTTTCGATGCCACAGGGAAATTTTGATCAGTTTTCAAACACATTCTCACGCTCTTACGTCTCCTATAGACTACAACAGAGTTACATGAATTAATATCAACTGTTGGGGAGGACTTCTCAGCAGTGCATTAATCACCAATCTATCTCTGCGGTTCTCCTTGTCCAATTTAGCAGCTGTAACTGGAAACACGGTTGCGCTGTGATTGTTCTTTGAACAGCGAGTCTCGAATTGATTTTAGCATCTTTGTCCCATTACTGACGTTTTAGCTCGGCTTGTCAACAAAACTGTTTTGATCGCTGACAATCGTTGACACCATTCATTTTTTTTAACTCTATAGACAACTTTTGACAATTTTTGTGTTTTATTTATATATATATTTTTCAAATCAGATTCCTTTCTGTTGTCAATAAATTCTAACCATAAAAAGATGCCACGCTGCCATAGCCTCAGTGTGTTTAAGTTCAGTGGTACTTCTTTTCTCAAAGATGTGATGATGAGATGAAAAGCGATATTTCAGAACTACAATTGTCTATAGCATAACTTAAAAGATGGATCCCAAATCAATCTAATATTGGTATCACTAGATAAATTTTCAATAACGCAGTGTGTTCCAAATTTAGACATCAAATGTCGCAACAATGTAACAAAGTTTAAGATCTTTTTGATTTTACGTGCAGTTCTTCGTTGATAAAATGATAAGTTAAGACTGCACTTTTATTCCACGTTTCCGCCAATAAAAAGCAAATGAGGATGTAAACGATACGTCAGTTTCATTAAGTAACATCTGTTCCGTAGAAAAGAGAAGCAATCGCAAATTTCCAACATTTTTAAAACTTATTTAGTTCCTTCGCCGCATTAAGAGACTGGGAATAAGTGAAATGTGTTTCTTGTGACCCAGACCAACATTTAAACTTGAAGATTAATTATTACAAATTACAGTTACATATCATTTTGGGAGTCCTGCTTCATTCCCGACCAGTATCAGATTAACTGAGCAGTGCAGCATCCATCGTTCTATCACTCTGGCTTTACGTGTCTAGTGTAGCAGCTGGAAATGCAGACGTGTTGTGGTTGTTCTACAAAAACGAGTGTTTACGAACAACTTCCAACCGTTTTTTATCCTCGTTGTCTGTAGCAGACTTGATGGTTGGGCTTGTTGTAGGCCTTATGTGGATCGTTATCCGATGTTGGATTCAACCGCCATCCTGACCTGTAAACATTTTGTTTCACCATAGTCTCGTTGCCTTCGCCGTCTTTCTTTGTATAATGTCTCTACTATCTGGGATGGAGATCTAAACGCTTTATTCCGGCTCTCTCAATTTTTTAGATCCACTCTGTCTAAGATTTTACTGTAAAAGAGTGTTCTTTATACATCTTGCCGCCATCATAACAATTTTGACCAAAAACTAATGCTTGGTGACTGGCATTTGACGAGGGCAAAATTACAAGTCGTGAAAGACTTGTCTGATATGACGGAAAAGACATATTTTCTTTGTACTTAGATTTACATTCACTAGGAAAGTGAATTCTGTAAGCGAAGCCTATAGGAAATTAAGGCTTCCGCTTGAAATAAACTGTTTGTGGGGGGCGTCAGACTAGTAAAGCTGGAGTACTTTTTCGCTTGAGTTGTCCTCAAAGTTTTGTCTCCTTAGTTGCTAAGTTACAACGACCAACGTTTCGTTCAATCTGATTTCACTCTGGTTGTCCACTAAAGTCCGGTGCATTTTGTTTAGACCTGTGAGGACAGGGAAGCCATGGGAAAGTGCAAGGAAAGGCTCGGCGAAATTCACTATTCCATTATATCAATGCGTTGATCGCTGATGAGGTAAAAGTGATTACCTCAATCCCATTCTATTCTACTTCCATTTTTCTTTAATTTAATAAAATTTAACCAACAGCGGAACTAAACTTGGCATCCGTGTGAGAATGCAAGCACCCTACACAAAACTGATTGTTTTGATAGCTTTAAAATTTTGCACAGCACGAACTCAAATATTTTCGCCTGAGTTCAGAGGTTTTCAACTGCTAAAATTCTCCTTCTCGTGCGGGCATGTTTTCTTTCTTCGTCTTTCTGACGAAAAATGTAAAAAAAATTCAGTTTATGAAAAGAACCAATCTCATCGTTGTTCGCATATACACACAGGCGACTGAAGTTCACTGAAAGAAAATTTTTCTATATAAGTTATTAAAGTTATTTATAATCTTATAAAAAGTTATTATAATCTTACCACAAGATGTAGACAGGAAGATTCAAAAAAACCTATTCCGGTTGCAAGGACTTGGGTCTAAGCAACTGCTACGAACCGAGAACCGAGAACCGGGAAGTCCGTCGACGCGAATTTATCATAAAGTCCAAAAACCTTAGCCTCCTACGCATTCGTTTTCAGGGGATTACGTTTCGCTTCTGCCCTCAAAACGCGGGAGTGAGACTCCATCCCTTAAAAAAAAAGCCTGCGTGGGAGGCAAAAAAAAGCCGCAAAAAGTTTGACCTTCTTATCTAAGCACGTGCCAGGTACACAGCCTTTGCCCTTTGCTTCTGTGTTCTTTGCGACCCGTTGGTGATATCTGAACATTCTTAGCCTTGCCCTATCCTGTAATAGAGACCTTTGATTTCTTGTTGACCGATCAATCTATTACTCGGTGCGAGAAAAATAGAGGATGACAGCTACTCTCGAAAGCGAGGAATCGGACCTCTACACAATGGACGTAATAAGTTGTGTGGCAATCTTTCACGAGAAGAGGAAGAGCGGAGGTTGCTTTCTGCGGAAAGAAAAATTTCGGGCTCAGTTTTCACAAAAGGTGGTCTCCTTAGACGCTCTTAAGGAAACAGTTAGGTAAGTTACGTTTTTTGTAGTTACCATGTTAGAAAACCTATAGAAGAAACCCAAGAAGGCTATGTCAGATATCCTAGAAAAATTGGAAAAGGGCACAAGAAACCCGTCTTTGTCTTTGGTTACACCATTACCGGACAGTGTTTACGTCAGAAAAATTATCAAAGCTGGTTTTGCTAATTGGTACTTGAAGCTCGAAAACGATAGGGGCATTCTGGAAATAAAGTTTGAAAACTTTATGAAACAGAACAAGTCCTACAGTTAGGAAGACAGTGCGCAAGTTCCTATCCCGAAATGATCATGTACGAAACAAAGACTGCCAGGAGAAAGCGGCAGTAACCAGGTTGGCTGATGAAAAGCTTATCAAGTACCTCCAGGAGCCGGACTTCGTAAGCCACACAATTATCCCAGAAATGGACCACTTTAATGAGCACAATAGGGTGGGAATGTATCCTCATCCCATCAATATCGCCGTGGGTCCCTACAGCAGCCTGCTGTTTCTCAAGCTGAATCAAGAAAGGTATGGATCAAAATCGTATATGGCTCAGTTGCACAACCCACAAGTTGAAGTTCTTGAGGAGTCTGTTGCTGCCAAAGAAGTCCACTTTACGAACAATATCATATTTCTAACTGGCAAAGACGGCCCATTCAAATTCCACGAGGTGTTCAAAGTAAGCGTTCTCGTCGATGTCAGAGAACGAAGAAATCGTGGCGAAGTTTTGGTGAAAGTAAATGAACTCGGCTTCGCTCTTGGCGGGACTGTTGTGGAAATAAAGTTAAAATGCGATTATGGAGCGAGAGGATTCCACTCAGACCAGATCAACTTCTGGAATGCTGAGAACCAAAGCACTTTTCAGTTTGAAGCTATTAACGTGGTTTCGTCTATGGAGCCTGCGCGAAAAGTTATTCTACTCTTTCCATCAATTTGAAGAAGGCTGGATACGGAATTCGTGGGGAGGCATCACTACTGACCAAGTACGAAGCGGATTGGCAACATGTTGGTTCAATGTGTCTTCTCGGACAATGCTTATATAAATCCCATTTTCAGGGTATTGACGAGATCTCTCTTTCGTCATTGACTAGGGTGCTAGAGATTCGTCGTGGTGTTTCATACATTTCACTAAGCCCAAGTATCGTTTCATGTAGAACTGGCATTTTATATGCTGATCCAAAAAGCCACCGATGCAGCGTTGGAGGAAAAACTCCAACGAAGTAGATGTCTTTGCCGGGACTAGTAGTGCTGGAAATATGGATGGAATGGCCGCTAGGACAGAGTGCTATCAATCAGTTTATCTTTGTGTAGCGTTCGGTCACGTTGTTTATGTTTGTGATGCGCAACTAAATTGTATTATGATCTCAACTTTGCTAAAGCAAACCGCTGAATTTTTTAATGCATTAGGCAAGATTTAAAAAGCCTTCTTTGTCCATGAAAAGCACCAGGCGTACAGACTCTCTGGTATTCGAGAAGCGAGCTGGTCAGCGACACTCTTCAGTTATTGAGCAGGAATGAAACTTCTATCAAAAGCGAGGTTGCCAATTTACCCTTAAAACTCTCGATGACCCACACGGTAACGTGGCATCTAAGACTGTTGTGTTGTGTCTGATGAAATGCTTAAATAGGGCCTTCAAAACCTCGAGCTAAATCGATTTCTAGGAACTTTTTTCAACGTAATTGTCTTAAATGTGACTTAAGACGCAATTGTGATATTCAAGTCTTTCATGACATGCAGTTTTTGCTTGTCAAACGCTCCTCTCTGAGCATTAGTCGTTAGTCAGTTAATGATGCAGGCAAGATGTCAGAAGAATTGACTTAGCACTTGCTTTTGGTGAAATCTCTTACATATTAAGTCCAGGAGAAAAACATTTCCTGAGCCATTCTTTTGCTTTTCTCCAGAGGACTCGAGAGCATCTAAAGTGAAAGTTTATTCGATTCAAATTTAGGCCCGGAAGCTTTTCATGCCTACTTACATTTGCATTTCTAAAACCTCTTTATGTCTGCTTCTCTGCAATAGAGTTATTTTAAGTGCGGTGGACCTGAGTTTGAGTCAAAATCAAAATCTGTCCTCGCAAAGAAACCGTATTTCGGTGGGCGCATACTTGGCGGATGATGGCGAACTTTGTTCTTCAAATAGCCCGCAACACAACGGAAATTGGTGAAAAAAAATGTTTCATATGCAAAACTATAGCACTTCTATCTTAGTGGTTGAATTTCTGGGAAAAACTGCAAAATATTTATATTTGTATCTGGAATAACATACCAAAAGACAGATAAGGATGTTTAAATAAATTTATCATTTGCAGCAATTTTAGAGAGCTTTTAATCGCTTTTAAAACACCGCCTCCTGGGCATTTTTTAAAAATTTAGACTTTCAGTTTATCTTAGACGTAACGCATCATATGATTGAATGCAAATAAACCATTTCAGTTTCGGTGACACAAGGAAATTTTGATCAGTTTTCAAACTTATTCTCTTACGTCTCCTATCGACTACACCAAAGTTACATAAATTAATTGTGCTTTGGTCGTTCCGTGAACAGCTAGTCTCGAACCGACTTTAGGGTCGTTGTCCCATTACTGACGTTTTCGCTGCGCTTGTTGACAAAACTGTTTTGACCGCTGACAATCGTTGGCACCATTAATTTTTTTTTTAACTCTATGGACAACTTTAACAATTTCTGTGTTTTATTTAGATCAATATTTTGCAAATCGGATTCCTTTCTGTTGTCAATAAACTCTAACCATGAAAAGGTGCCATGCTGCCATAGCCTCAGTGTGTTTAAGTTCAGTGGTACTTCCTTTCTCAAAGATGTAAGTTGATGATGAGATGAAAAGTAATTTTTCAGCACTGTAATTGTCCATAGCATTGGTCTTACCATTCTCAAACATAGTTGTAATCAAATAATAAGCAGATTATGGTCTTCAATGCTACTTTTCTTGTGTTTTTTATTTGGAAAAAAACAGTTTGAATCTTATTAAAGACCGTGCTTGAAAAAACGCCAAGCTTGTGTTTCCGAACAAGTGATGTTTCTGTCATTCTTCAAGTTCTTTGAATACTTCCTTCGCCCGCCCGAGAAATTAGTTATTTGGATCATGGTAATTTGATCTCCCTAGGCAAAGAAAATTCCAAGCAAATTTTGCAATCAATTTATACAATAACACACGAGGATTTGTCACTTTGAATCCCAAGGTTCAATCAGAAAATTGTGTGATCGACATCAATAGTCTGAATGACTGTATTAGGGACCTTTAGCAGTTAGGAAAGCAACGCCAAGGAAAACGTGGATTTAAAAATGAATACATACTTATAGTTGGATTTTCGCGAATGATTGGATATGTTTACCATCTTCTTCGGCGTCGCGAGTTAACCTCAGAATAACATATGAGGGCGGCGTTGAGTTCCAAATAGAAACTTAATTAAGTTGCCGTCGGGGTTTCCTTTCTCCGACCACGCAAATTTTGATGATTTTACGTTGTTATTAAGGACCTCTAGCAAACCACGACGGCGACAGCAACAAGGACGTGGCAAAGCAAAAGATCTAATGAGCAGAACAATAGCTTAGCATGTGCGTTTTAAAACTGCGTACATTTCTTAGCCGTCCTCTGCAAAATAACAACTTGAAATCATCAAAATTTGCGTGGTCTCAAAAAGGGAACCCGACGGCACATTATTTAAGTTTCCATTTAGCACTCCACGCCGCTGTCATACGTTATGCTGAGATTAACTTGTGGCGCAGTAAGAGACGGTAAACACATCCAGTAGTTCGCGAGATTCCCACTAATAATATATATATATTCATTTTTAATTCGACATCTTCCTTGGCGTTGCCGTCCTAACTGCTAAAGCTCCCAATTATTTCGCAAAGGACGGCTAAGAAATGTACGCAGTTTTAAAACGCACGTGCTGAGCTATTATTCTGCTCATTAAATCTTTTGTTTTGCCACGTCCTCGTTGCCGTCGCCGTCGTGCTTTGCTAAAAGTCCCTACTTATGGGGAACGAGGAAAACCGCCACAACGGGCACACAAAGCGTAAGCCGGAATTTTCAATCATCGACATTTAATGTGACTTCGACTTTTTATGCCGATCGCAGCGATCGGCAAAAACTGCGATCTTCTTCAAGATTGCCTTACTTGTCGCCGATTTTTTGAGATTGATTGACACTTAATTCTTAATTATTGATATTTTTTTACTGTATGGTGATACCATGTAAGTGGTCAATTCTAGTAAATCTCTATAGAGAATGCACGACAGCTTGGATTGATTCGTGAGGCATCTTGCAAAGAATGTAGCTGAGTCCGATTCGGCAATCATTAGAGTCCATACCCCCACATATTACAATTTTTCTTAGCCGTTTATTTTTCAGTTGGGATGTGTACTGGAAACCAACGTTGGAGGGTCTAGTGAGGAGACAGTCAAGATCATATTGACATATAGAAGGATGATTAAATATTTGTTTCTTGAGCAAATGCTGAAAAGTCTTTTCTTTTTTGTCAATGTAGAATGCCCGTAAATGTCAAATCCTCTACTCCAATTTATATGTTAAACAACTCAAAGCCGCGGAGATCATTTAAATTCGAATATTTATTCAAATTTGAACAGTTTCTACGAGGTTGCAAATATCCTGAATTTGAGATAACACTGATGACTGGGGCTTTTTAGAAAATACAAGTTATTTCCAAGTGAGTATTTTTTTACCCATAGCCTCTTCCTCGGCTGTTAAAGTACATGAACTTGCAGCCTCAAACCATCTGCTATCAAATTATTTGTTCGCTTCAGTAGAATTTAAACAAAGTTCAACATTTGGTATATTTTAGTCGACTTTAAGAGCGGTTCGCATTTTTCTCCGCGATTTGAAGCGAGTGAAAATACGCAGCGAATTCGGTAACTGTAACGCGCAATTAAAATTTTTCTATTGATGATTGCACAATATAAGTCAATGAATTAAGAAATCATTTCCATTAAAGGCTGAAAAACTATCACTTTTCTTTTGACAAGCTGTAAATTACATTCGAAAACTTACTCAAATTACTTATTCACCTCACGTGCAGAATATCTAAGTAGAAGTCGACCACTCCTTTAACTGCGGAGTCGAGTTTCAGGGCGGTTTATATGTTGTTCGTTAATGGAGGCGGTGTGAAAATAATCACCCAATTTGGAACTTACTTTGCCGAGAAGAAACATGAATTTCACCTGCTTAGAAAAAGGACCGAGCGATGCAGCATTCATTGCTCTATCATCATGGTTCGCTTTGTCTGGTTTAGCAGCTGTATTCGGTAATACAGTTGTGTTATGGCTCTTCTACAAAAGCAAGTCCCTACGAACAGTTTCGAACAGATTTTTGGTCTCGTTGTCCGTTGCGGATCTCTTGGTGGGAGCTGTTGTGGAGCCAATCTTTTTAGTCGAATATCTCACTCAGTCAGTAGATAATCAAAACGTAATACATTTCTTCTGGATTCACTCTACAGCTGCAACTACATGGAATTTGTGCTGCGTTTCTGTTGACAGGTTCGCTGCAATTCGCTTTCCTTTAAATTATCAAGTGATTCTAACAAAGAAAAGATGTTGTGTAGTGATAACCGTGATCTGGGTAATCTCTCTGTTCCTTCCTTTCACGATAATGTTTGTGAAAAATGAAGCAACTGATCATCACGCAGAACTGTGGTTATCATTTGAATTCATTTTATTTGTGTTTCCGATTATCGTGGTATTTTTCTGCTACATTTGTATTTTCAAAACAGCCAATAAACAATACAAACGAGTAAAAAAAGACTATCAACACGGGGATGACAGCTCACGCCGGGCTTTAAACAATTTCAAAGCTATCAAAACAGTTGGACTTGTTTTGGGTGTTTTTATCGTTACATGGATGCCATCTTTAATCTTGGCTCTTGTCACCTATTATTACCGTAAAACAGAGCATGAACAATGCGAAGAACAGGAATTGCATTCCATGGCGTTGCCTTGGGCAGAAGCAGCGGCTTTTACTTCATCAGCTATCAACCCATTGATATACTATTTCAGAAATGGCGAGTTTTGCCAAGCCTTCAGAAATACCTTTAATTTTGATCGGTTGCACAGTGTTTACTATAAAAATGCACCAGACCCTGGAGCAAAGCAAGAGCAGACCCGGATAGATGGAGGTGTTGGAATTCTTAGGAAATTTCCAAGTAACGAGACACAGCCGTAAGGAAAACTAAACAGTGCTTCCGATTAGTCCTAAATTTGGTCGTCAAAGAGATACAGAAACTTTCTTTCAGTCGGTGGAGACCTAGAGCAAGATAGGGTTGAAACATAAATGACATCACAGGAGATTAATGTTCTAGAATGTTCCTTGATTCATATTTTAATGCTCAGTCTTGCTGCATGATGTTCATTTATAAATTAAGTAGGATCTAATCATACAAGATGGTTTAAACTTTCAAGCATAACTTAAAAGATGAAGCCTAAATCAATCTTTTGTTGGTGTCACTCGATAAGCTCTCGGTGAAGCAGTGTGTTCTAAATTTAGACATCGAATGTCGCAACAATGTAACACAGTTTAAGATCTTTTTGATATTACGTGCGAATTTTCGTTGATGAAATGATAAAGTCGAGACTACACTTTTATTCCACGTTTCCGCCAATAAAAAGCAAATGAGGAAGTAAACGATACGTAAGTTTCAGTTCGTAACATCTGGTCCAGCAAGGAAAAGCGATTGCAAATTTCTAACATTTTGTAAACTTATTTAGTTAAAACTTCTACTTTCGCTTCATAAAGAGAAAATTATTGCAAATTACAGTTACATATAATTTTGTGAGTTCTGCTTCATTCTCGACCAGTATCAGAGTTACTCAGCAGTGCAGTATCCATCGTTCTATCACTGTGGCTTTCCTTGTCTAGTTTAGCAGCTGTAACTAGAAATGCAGACGTGTTGTGGTTGTTCTTTAAAAACGAGTCTTTGCGAACAACTTCCAAACGTTTTTTATCCTCGTTGTCTGTAGCAGACTTGATGGTTGGGCTTGTTGTAGGCCCTGTGTAGATCGTTATCAAACGTTGGATTCAACCGCATTTAACACAGTTTTGCACAACTTCACAGACCTGTTGTGGATTCAAGGTAATTTGGTATTATCAACTGAGTTGATGGCGTAAATTGGCCACCTTGTGTCCTGACCTTTAAACATTTTGTTTCACCACAGTCTCGTTGCCTTCGCTGTCTTTCATTGCATGATGTCTCTGATCTGGGATGGAGATCTAAGCACTTTATTCAAGCTCTCTCAGTTCTGCAAGTCCACTCTGTCTAAGCTTTACTGTAAAATAGTGTTCCTCATACATCTTGACGCCATCATAACAATTTTGACCAAAAACTAATGCTTGGTGAAGGGCATTTGACAGGAGCAAATTTACATGTCGTCAAAGACTTGTCTGATGTGACGGAAAAGACATATTTTAATTATCACGACTTAGATTTACATTCACTTAGAAACAGTATTTCGGAAATTAAGGCTTCCGCGTGAAATAAACTGTGTGAGGGGTGTTAGGTTTATAGTAAGACGAGGGTACTTCTTCGCTTGAGTTGTCCTCAAAGTTTTATCTCCCTAGTTTCTTAATTACCACGAGTTCCACCATTTCGTTCCGTCTGATTTCGTTCTAGCTGTTCAGTAAAGTGCGATACATTTTGTTTCGACTTGTGAAGACAGGGAAACCGAAGGAGAGTGCGGCGAAAGGCTCGACGAAATTCGCTATTCCTGAAATAGTATATCAATGGGTTGATCGCCGATGAGGTAAAGGTGATTACTTCAACCCAAGGCCTTATAAAAATATCAATTTCCATTTTATTCTACTTCCGCTTTTGCATTTATATAATAAAATCTAATCAACAGTAGAACCAAACTTGACATCCATGTGATAATGCAAGCGCCTGAAACAAAACCGATCGTTTCTATAACTTTAAAATTTTGCATAGCACGAAGTCTAATATTCCCAATTGAATTAGGTTTACAGCTCCTGAAATTCTCTTGGACAAAATTCTCCTAAATTATTTTCTGTCTAATTTGAACATGAAGACCACTAATAAATGAAACTACAAATGCTGTACATACAAACGACATAAAAAGCTCTTTTCGATCCTTTCCTGGTTGAAAGAAAAATATTGAAAAAAGTAAGCCTCAATGAGATGAAACATACGAAAATGATGACCGCTAAGCATCTCCTCTTGGTCAAAATATCGTGATACTTAAAAGGAAATCGAATAGAAAAAAAAAGGTCAATTGAAACACAACAAACGTTGAAAGCAGAGGCGGCGGTTGTGTGAACCCACGACATTAATCTAAAATCAAACAAAATGTTTTAGACCCTAGGCTGAATCCAACTTCTGATGAAAATTTTAAAATGGATCCACGACAAGCCTAACCAAAACGTCCGCCACTGATTTAGAGGCTAAATCAAAGTGCTCTGTGAGCAAACTCGTGAATTGACACATGATTTTTTGGATTATGTTCAATGTTATCTGGTTTAGGGAATTTTGTGGTTGATTGTCATATCCAGAGTACGAGCAGTAGTTCAGTGTTCGCTAATGTAGCAAAGAAACAAAGTAACGCTGGGATAAGAAGGCATTACAAATGAAATGATCATGCCATTGACAAGGATGGATGATGTCATGTGTTTTAAACGTATATCATTTCTGTTTCTGGTTCAAAAGAAAAGGTTGGAAGTAAATGTGGGTAAAAAGTAAAATTTACTGTCTATCATTATAGATATTAGAAAATCAAGGCAATACTGTCTTAATGAAAACATTAACGATTCCCTCT